CGAACTCGGGTGTATCTGAAACATGCTTGTCAACTGGATGTCGCGACAAGTGGTCAGCAACCTTGTTTGCCTTATCCTCGATGTGCTTGATATCATATTCGTAGTCTTCTAGAAGCAGTTTCCACCTGATAAGACGGGCGTTTTGTGTTTTGCAAGTCTTAAGATATTCGAGCGGCTTATGGTCGGTGTAGATAAAAAAATTTCTGCCGTATAGATAAGGCCTAAAATGGTTACATGCCCAGATTATTGTTAGGCACTCTTTTTCTGTTGTAGAATAATTTTGTTCGGCTTTATTAAGCGTTCTAGATGCAAAACAAACTGGTAATTCTTTACCATTATTCTTTTGAGCAAGTACCGTTCCTATAGCGTAATTACTGGCGTCAGTTGTTACGTAGAAGTCTTCTTCAAAGTTGGGGATTTGAATTACGGGACTACTTCATACCAAGGTTTTTAGCTGTTCAAATGCTTCACTGTAGGAATTAGGGTTTATTTCACTTTCTTCCTTACGCAGGCATCTTGTCATAGGCGAGGCTATTTTTGTGTAGTTAGGGATCATTTTTCGATAGAATCCTGTCAAGCCGAGAAAACTTTTTATTTCTTTTTCTGTTTTAGGTAATTTAAATTCCTTGGCTGCCTTTATTTTATCCGGGTTAGGTTCTATTCCTTTTACACTTATTATATGGCCCAAAAACAATAGTTCTCTCTTATAAAATTCCGTTTTGTCTAGTTGGATTTTAAGATTGTTTTTTCAATTTTTCTAAAACCGATTTTAGATGTTTTAAGTGGTCGTTGAAAGTTTCAGAAAATATAATAATATCATCCATGTAAACCAATACATGTGGCATATCCGAAAATATAATATTCATCGCCCTTTGGAATGTTGCAGGGGCGTTGCATAACCCAAATGGCATTCTTAAGAATTCGAAATGCCCTTGGTCAGTACTGATTGCAGTTTTATGAACTGAATCCTTATCAACTTTAATTTGGTGAAAACCAGAGCAAAGATCCATGGCTGTAAAAATAGTGGCTTTACCTAATTTTCCGAGTAAGTCCTCAATATTCGGCAAGGGGTATCGGTCTGGGATCGTTTCTCTGTTGAGCTTTATGTAATCGATCACCATTCTTATTTTCTTCTGCCCTGATGCACCAGCTTAACTACCCAAACGGACGAATTATAGGGTAAGTTACTGGGAGTAATTATTTTGTTTTCTAGCATTTTATTTATTTCTCCTCTTATTTGTTCCCTAAATTGCTGTGGGTATCTATAATTTCTAGAATAAATTGGATGGTCCGTTTTGGTTTTTATTTGGTGTTCCAGTAGGTCCGTCGCTATAATGCATCTTTTTCTGTTTTAAATATGGCAGGATATTGTTCCAAGAGTTTTAATAATTCGGACCTATGTTGCGGAGGAATATGTTCAACTCTGAACAGCTCATTTATATTTTTGTCTTCCTTATCTATTGGTGGGTTGACTATTTCCACTTCTTGGAAATGCAGTAGAGGCAATATGACTATTCCGCTTTTATCCCAATATATTCTTGGGGGTATTTCCAGTCCATCCGTTTTATAATCTATATAAAAGTTCTTTCCCTTAGGTATTTCTGCTATATTTTCTCCTTTCTTGAGTTCAATCGGGAGGGAGTCCCTATTCAATATGAATTTAAATTCACTATAGTCTGATTTAATTTGTCTGTTTTCAAAATCTATTTTAAAGTTTAGGTCATCCATGAGTTCAGAACCAACCAGAACGTCATGGTTTGGACTAAAATTTAGTAAATAAAATTTGACTTTAGTGGGACATTTTTTTTTTTTAATTTCTTAAAGACATTTACAACTGTATTAAATAAATACATCTAGTAAATTAGAACATAATGTATATAATGACATGAAAAACACTTTCTGAGTAACTACCCAATGGTAGCACTCTAAAGTGGGACATTTTAAAAACATGTTTTTAATTTCAGTGGTGATGGTTTCTGTTCCCTTTTCCTCTCATGCGGCAGTTAAACCGATGAAATTTTCATTTTCTCTTTTGACTCCTGCAGGTACTATTTTTGGATTGATATAGTTTTTTTGTGCTCCTGTGTCGAGTAGCCATTTATGGTCCTTTTTGTCAATTACATAAGGCAGTTTATGGAAATTATTTGTCTGGAGTTCCTGAATTTTTATGTTTTGTAATTCCGATCTAGATCGTCCTCTAAAAAATGATCTTCTGTTGGATTTGCGGTGAGCCTCTCTAATTGTTCACGAAGTTCCCTTATTTCTTTATCTTTCGGGTCTTCTTCTTTCACTTTATACAATGGGTGTCTTGGGTTGTTTTTCTGAAAACCGTTCACGGTACGCATTGAGACTGTATTTGATGATTCACCTTTCTCTGCGGGCTTATTATTTTTGGATTGTCCTGAGCCTCGAAAATACCTTCTTTGATCTTCGGGTTTCCACTGCTCTCTGTGAGGTTGGTAATCTCTCTTTTTATGGTGATTATTTTGATTACTGTTATGGTAATCTTGGTGATAATCTCTCCTAGGGGAGTGTCGACGCTCATCATTTCTTGATCAGTAGAAATTTGGTTGGTGATAGTTTTTATTATGATGTCTTTTATCATGTCTCTAATCATAACCTCTTCTTTTTTCTTCCTGAGCTTCCCCGGGCTTCCTCATGTTGCCAGAATTGATCAAATATTCAAATAGGTGATTTTCATTTTGTATGAGATTCCGTAGATCATCAAGAGTTTTTAGTCATCAAATATGTCCTAATATGTAGAGGCATATTTGTGAAAAAGTGGTATAATATATTTTTCTCTAACGCGGATACTATAGTTGCTCTTTCCGGAGTGTTCTGAATTCGGTATTTGGAAATAATCAGTGTTCGACTTCTGTCTAATCGTTGAAGGAAATCTAGAGGGTGTTCTTTATGACGAATTCTTAAAGTAAAGAGTTCAAATGTTAGTTGTTCAATAGAACGAGAATCCCTAAAAGTATTTTCCAGGTATTGTAAAAGTTCAGTGACCCCAGTGAATTCACATTAATATTAATGTAGTCAGCGTCTCCTGTTAGTCTAGCTAGGATTTTACTGAGTAAGCATTGGTCATTCAGTTCGTGGAGGTTGTTATCAGGTTTGCAGACTATATTGTAAACTTGTCGGCAAACGGTTACAAATTTAAGCAATTATGTGGATCTCCATTGAATGATGGAATATGGTCATAATCAGCGGATTTAATTGCAAAAGTGGTAGCCATTTCATCTAAATTATTACAATCGTTAATGCGAATAGCTCTAATTTGTTCCAACCTTTCAGTTAATTTACTCATAAAATTGTTAGTACATGTATGTTTATAACAATATAATAATATAAATGTTAATTTATATATATAATAAAAAAAATTTATATACTTAAATATTAATAAACCAAAAAATAATAATAAAAAAAAATTTGAATGAATTTTGATGATTTCAAATAAAGTTGACTCACAATTTTCTTCCAAGAGTTTCAATGTCTGTCGGGGTGATCAGACGATTTTAGCTCAGCAGCAGGTCCTTCTTCAAGATCTAAGAGTCAGAGCGGGGTGCCAGCCTCTTACAGGTGTGATATCCTCGAAAGGTAGATCAAATCTTGATTTCTGGTACTGCAGAGTTCGAGTCTAGAACCGCGATGAATGGTCCCTGTTTGGGCGCCAATTACAAAACTCAACCGTCGAAAAGTGAAAAAAAACTTTATTGAGAAAACAAATCAAACAATGAACATTAAGACATGCTAAGTACTACTGCTACAGATCTGACAAGCCTAGGATTTTATGGGGGTATACATAGGTAGAGAAGAGGGAGGCTGCGTAAAAACGTCACAGCGTGGAGTCATGCCATCTACTTTATCTGCTATCATCGATAATTTTTCCAAATTCTCATCCGAAACTAATAATATATATTTTTATTGCATCAGGAAGTTTATCTAGCCATAATGTCCTGAGTACTTTAGTACTTTATACGTCGGTACCTGCCAATGCAGTCATTTTTCGTAATAATTGACTTGGTTTCAAGATCTAGACCAACTACTAACCCTTTTATTTGTGATTCTTAACTCTTTTTGTAAAGGTTCAAAAGTCTTGTATTGGCTAGTGAATATTGTGCTTCACTTTCTGAATCTAGAATATCAATTATATCTGATACAAATTTCCTACCTAATTGAGATACTAAGTAATCAAATTTTGTACCTTCAATAGTAACTCTGCTTAATTTAAACTGGGCCTCAACTGGTCTGAATCATACATCCGGTCGTTCAAGCCAAAATGGTATTTTAACCGATACTTGGAGGTTCTCCTTTTGATTGTTTATTTCCGGTCATCTCTGGAATATCCAAGTTGCTTCCACTTTGCATTCTAGTTATTAAGCACGTCCGAATTCAGATCTCTTATTACTCCTTTGATATTCCTTCTCACCAATCTTGTATCACATTTTATCCCTCCCTCAAAAAATCCTTAAATGACTTTCAATAATCCTATATCCATTCTCTTTTGGAATGTGAATGGTGTTAGAAATCATACAAAGGAACTATCTGCCTTATTACTTGACAAGAACATTGACGTTGCACTAATTACTGAAACTCGACTAACTACTAAACACTTCTTCAAAATACCACAATACTTGATCAGACCATACAGAGCAAAATACATATCATACAGACCATTCTGACAGTAGAGCAGATGCCAGCACTGCTTTCATTGTACACCAATCTCTCTCCCATCACCTACTCTCATTACCTATCCAAGATTTCCTACAATCCACCGCTATCCTGCAAAACCTCCTTTCCGGTCACTCTTGCATCAGCATACTTCCCTTTTAACAGATCCATATCCAATGCCCAGTTCAGTTCTTCCCTCAACTCTTTACATCACTTCATCTTGGGTGCAGACATAAATGCCAAGAACCAGCAATGGGGTTCAAGAACCACAAATAATAAACAGATTAATTACGCATTGAATTTTGGGATATATGAATAAAACAAAAAACAAGGAAAAAAGTTTAATTTAGTAAGGCATTTTCAATTAGTAAACTTAATCTTCACTTTTATTTTTTTTTTGATAAATTTATTCTGACTAGTTATGATAAATTTATATTCCTTTAAAAGGAATTTATATTCCTTTAAAAGGAATTCAAATAAAAACTTCATAAGTGAATTTACAAAGTAAAATCATTAGCGGCTATAACATCACACCACAACAAATCTGTTTTGCATGATGGACAATGGCCTTTTAGAGGAATTACTTCAGACTCATTTACTAAGAAATGTTTAGCAAGACATTCAACATGGTAATTCTTATTGCATAAAAACATTGGACAAATTACATTCCTTGGGCTGCAAATAAATTGATCACAGGAAAAGCACAACGATGAATTTATTGGTAGAGGTGACTTTTCTGGAATAGGGGTAGGTTTTATTGAACACATTCCTGGAATCTCCTAAAAGAAAAAAAAAAAAACAGGTTTAATAAAACTAGCAATATCATAAAGTATAATTAATTATCTAGTCATTGAAACCATAAGATGAATAAATATTGATTTACTGATAGTGAATACACTGAACTAATGATTACAAATATTTGTTTTTCCACTAGCTATATTTACGAATGCTTTTATTATAAAAAATTTTAATAGGATAAGCAAGTTATGGTAATTGAAGTATTAAACGAAGTAAAGTAGGGTGTTTAAAGTGTAGCCAAGTTTAATCAGCTGTCCTTTACTGGTATGGGTCACTTATTTCTTCTACCTTCCTCAAATACCATTTACCATCCTTTTTAACTAGGGATTTTTTTTTTATAGATAAATATTTAATTTTCCATATTTTTTCAAATATATACAAGCGTGAATCAAGTACAAATTATTCATTTACTGAATTTTCAATGGTTGACCATAGTATAATATTGAGGAAAGAGATGGTCCAGGGTGTTTCGGCAGTTTCACAAGGAACTCCATAACAATCATGCCCCTAATCAAGATCTACGTAATTGGCTCAAAACATTGGTTTAAATAAAATAGTTTTTTCACTATTTTAAGTTTTTTTTCATCACCGAAACCATATGCAAGAACCTGGACCTCTCTTATTATTTTCCTGTACTTTCTTCGATACCAGGTGAGCAATCACCGTCTTTGTATTAACATCCTTTACAAGATGTCCTCCACATTCTCCAGCTACCTTAGGCGTTATGTGCCTCTGCTTTGTCGATCCTCAAGCAGACAATTGAGAATTGAATCAAGGGCCTACCTGCTACATGCCCCAACCATCTCCATTTCCGATGTTTAATGACCTGATCTATTGGGACTTGATTAGTTCTCTACGAAGAGCTTTCCTTAAAATGATATTGAGTACCATCAGGAATAAGATAGGGGAAAGAACATATCCCAGTCTAACACCAGTTCCAACATTAAAGGGCTCTGACACTCTGCCACAATGGATAACTTGGCAGGAGGAATTCTAATATAGTTTTTAAACAATATTTATAATTTTCCTCCGTATTCCACAAATTCTTTATGGCACTTTCTTTCCTGACACACTATCAAAAGATTTTTCGAAGTCTATAAAGTTAAGATATAGTCGCCTGGAACTCCAAAAATTGTTTAACTATAATCCTGACGGTGTTAATTTGTTCGATGCACGATCTTCTTGGTCTGAATCCACTCTGTTCCTTTCTTAATTTACTATTAACAGCCTCCCTAATCCTGTCGAAAATGATGCGACACACTATCTTGCTGGGAACCGATGTCAGCATTATTCCTCTCCAGTTTGAACATTATTTCTGACAGGCTTATTGTCTGCAAAACATTGCTTTTTTGAAAGGGATTTTGTCACACCATACAGTGTCTTCAGATCACTCTTATCAGCTGCTTCTTGAGCTTTCCTAGCTTGACCACTAATAAAGTTCCTCTTCGGAACAGTCTTTTAACCTGCTTATTTGCTTACTTATAAGCACATATCGTCTTCCTTCTTCTTTTTGGTCTCTGGTTCTGCTTGTTTAAAACTTCTTTTTCCCCTTCCGATCAAAAATAGCATCCCAGGTTTTGCTTGATACCCAATCAGGCTTGTTTTCCTCTTTCACACCAAGAACTTCCTTTGGAATGTCATGTATGACATTCTTCATATCATTCCACCTTTTTTCGATAGCTTCTTTTCTTCTTTCTTGGATATCATCATCATTATTGTAAGGAGTCAAGTGTTAAATCTGTTAGAAAGCTCCAGCGTGTACTGTGATTTATTTCTGCCCTCTTCAAGTTTACCTGTATCCCATCTTTTCAGTACACATCCAAATGGTTTCTTGTTTGTTGCTATTGCTAGTCGAATGAGGTCAATGTGAACTTGATCAAATCTCTTATCAGTGTGCAGATCACTGATCAAACCCAAACCCTAGTGGACTACGAGTATGCCTAATAGGTTTTGGAAAGTTGACAACTGAAATATGACATTTAAGTGTTACAAGTGTTCTTCCAGGAATGTAGATGCTATCAACACATCGTCTATATAAGCAAAACAAAAATCAAATTCACCTAAAATTTCATTCATCCATCTTTGGTCTGACCAGCATTTTTCATACCAAATACATCATTACGGAATAACGTTTAAGACAGAAGGTAGATATCTATATGCCACCTTCATTGACCTCTAAAAAGCTTTTGATTCAATTAATCATGGACTTCTTTGGAGAAAGCTTATTATCTTAGGAGTCGGAAGAAAAATCATCAAAATTATTAAAATGCTATACGATAATGCCTCAACCCAAATTTCGGTTAACGGACAACTTTCAGAAGATATTAACATCACCTTAGGACTTTTACAAGGCGAAAGTCTGAGCCCAACCTTGTTTTTGTTATTTATCCCCGACATAGTGAAATACTTTCATGACAAAGGAGCAGCAGGGGTAAGCATAGATACCTCACACGAGGTAACAATGCTCCTTCTAGCTGATGATATCATTCTCTTAAGTAATAGTTGGCATGGGGCGCAAAAGAACAACAAAATATTACAAGAGTATTGCAGTAACAATTCTCTTACGTTAAATGTAGACAAGTCTAAAACTATCGTTTTCCACAAATCTCCACGGCTTAAGCAGCTCAAACCGTTGTATTGGCATGAGAAGATATTAGAGTATACAAAAATATATACTTATTTGGGAGTTCCCTTCACAACATCAGGAAAATTTAAACAAGCATGTGAGCATTTTACTCAGAAGTCATCAGTGGCATCAGCGAGAGTCATAGAAATACTAAAAAAAGATAAAAGTGACTCCTGGGAAAGTAAAAAATTGTTATTTGACTCCATGGTCTCATCAACATTGCTTTATGCTTCTGAAATATGGAGCCCCAGTTATCTTGAGGCAATCGAAACGGTCCAACATAAATTTTTAAAGCAACTGTTTGATTGGCCCAGAAATACTCCAAACTACATAGTCCGCCTCGAAACAGGAAGAGAGACACCCAAAACTTTGTTTTAACAGACTTAAATCTTTAGATAAGGATAAGCCTGACATAGACTTCAATTGGGTGTCTCAATTTAGAGAAATAGCCGAGCTTAATGCCTTTGCAGAAGAGCTTTCTGTTCACCACACAAACGGACTTCTTCGATACAAAGACGACATTCTTGAAAAAGCACACAACTATTATTTCTCAGCTGACATTCAAAGAACTTTAAACTCAACTAACTACCCTTTATACAGAATGTTATGCAGTTACAATGCTCCCGATCCCGAAGCGTACCTTACATTTAAAGTTCATATAAAGAAATTGAGATGTGTTAGTCAATTAAGAGTTGCAAATCCAGAACAAATCAGAATTTATGCAAAAACCACAACTTTTTCGATTGAGTCTCAAGAAATTTGTATATTATGCAGTCAATTTATCCACAATAGTCTACATCATATTCTCCTTCACTGCCCAGCATACAATGAATATAGACAAAAATTCCTCCATAACTTCATCTCAGAATCTTCTGATAACCACAACATTGAAACTATATTGAATATCGACTGTATAGATAAAGTAAACAAAGTTTACTATTATATGATGGGAGTACACAAAGTACATTCACAAAATTGTTGATCATAGCCCATGTTATATTAAGTGTTTATTTTTAGTTTATGTAAAAAGTAATATTTTGTTTGTATATATACATATTTTTATTTTTTATTGTTCTATCATAGTAACAGGTTCATTTAACTATCATTATGCAGTAATCGTTTTATGTTTTTAACTTTTATTGTTTTTCATGCTTTGTAAAACCCATTATAAACGGAAAATATTGTAAAGTTTATTTATATTTAAATGATATGTAATGGTATGTAAATTTGTAAAACCATATTATTGTACAATAGCCAAGCTAGGCTCTATTTTTATGGGGAACCCCCCAAAAACAAAAAAAATATCTATCCATCTACATCATTACTGTAAATTCGAACAATCCAAATGAGGTGATTGATTTCTCAACAGGTATCTAGTTGTACACTCGAAGCAAATCGATTTTGGAAATCGATACTTAGCAGGCTTGGTAATTGCATTCAATTTATGATGATCGCCGCAAGGACACCAACCGCTGTCTTTCTTCTTAGTTAGATGTAAAGGACTAGCCCAACATGAATTAGATGGCCGACAGATGCCTAGATCCAACATTACTTGAAATTCCTTCTTCACTACGTTTAGCTTCTCTTGGAGCAGCCTACGGAAACGGCAATGCAAAGGAGGTCCTGGGGTTACTATAACATGAATAGTTTTGTGTGTGATACTGCTCTTGAGAAAAGTAGATGGACGAGTTAGTTCAAGGTATAGTTGAAGTAATTTTCAGAATTGATAAGGAACCTTTATATTAAGTCTATGCACACCGAAGGTACCTACATGGTCAATGTGGCTTCATTGAAGTGCGAGAGTGCTGCGGTTTGCTTTACCGTCTATTAGAGGCTTAGTCTGTAAATCAACAATTAAATTATGATATTTAAGGAAATCTGCTCCTATAATAGGGTGTGGTAGTGTGGTAAAAATAATAATAATAATAAAAGGCTTAGCGAACCCGAAGGTTCGATGCTGACACCAGCAATCGCTTATTACACACCTCCCTCCACCCTTCGCCGTCCAAACCCAGTCCCTTCAGACCGGCTTTAATGCAATCTTCCCACCTTCGCTTCGGTCTATCCCTCGGACGCTTACCATTCGGCACACCAAATATTAACCTTTTAGGAATTCTCTAGTTACTAAGCCCAACAACTTTACAAGCCCATTTGATTCGCCGCGATGAAATTACCTCAATTATATTACCCGGATACAGTTCACGCAATTCAGCGTTGTGTAACCGTCTGAACTCTCTGGTTAACTCATCCTTCTTCGGTCCGAATATTCTACGCAATACTTTATTTTCAAAAACCTTAAGACGCTGCTCATCCCTTAATGTAAGCGGCCAACGAATATGCATTATCAGAGTTAGAGGAAAATTCTTTAATTATTCAGTCTTCAGCTGCCATGCCCCAACTGAAGCATCAGATGAACAAGACAAGGAGGATTTTTATGATCTGTTGGACAGAACAATTAGAGCATGCCCTCGATCTGACATAAAAATAATCGCAGGCAATCAGAAAAAAAAGGAGCAAAGAGAAGGTAACAGACAGACGCAGAAAAAGAACATGGGAAAATAAAGAATTGGAAGATATCGAGACCTTGAGGAATGCTAATGAATGTTGGAAATTGTACCAAAGAGTGAATAATGGCTGGAAGCCATTTAAGCCATAACTGTCCTTATGCAGAGATCTCAGTGGATCATTACTCAGTGATAAGAATCAAATTCTAAGAAGATGGAACTGTCATTTTGAACAAATGCTCAATGAAAACCACACACAGGAGGACCTAATGAGAATAACAGAGTTAACCCGAACACCGGAAGATGAGCTAGAGCCCCCTGACGAGGAAGAAGTTCAAGAAACAATAGATAAGCTTAAGGATAACTAAGTCCCAGGCTCTGACACACTGTTTTCTGAATTCTTCAAGGAAGGTGGAAAGGAGCTCACAAAGCTGTTACATATTTTTTGATTTGGATTGAGGAAGTAATTCCAAAAGATTGGAGTAAAACAATTCTCTGCCCTGTACACAAGAAAGGGAGTTTACTTGATTGCAAAACTACCGAGGTATTTCGATGTTACCATGTGCCTATAAAATCTTCTCCAACATTCTTTACAAGCCCCTCCTGCCGCATGTTGAAAAAAAAAAATCTTAGGGAGATATCAATGTGGTTTTTACCAGGGAAAGTCTACAATTGATGATATTCTCCATACGCATTGCTATTGAGCGTGGCCGAGAGTATCAGATACTCTCACACCACTTATTAGTGGATCAGCCAACAAGTGTTCAGTGTGAACCTCTATACCAAGCCATAAAAATATTTAATATACCAACAAAACTTTACGCCTAGTAAAACTGACTATGGAAAAAAATTGAAAATGTGGTGTGTATTCAAGGCGATCTCTCTCAAGGATTTACAGCAATTAACGGAGTCAGACAAGCAGACTCCCTTGCATGCCTACTGCTTAACATATGTTTGAAAAAAGCGGTCAGAGACAGGAATCCAGACAAGAGGAACCATCTTCAATCGCACAATTCAAATCCTTGGCTACGCAGATGATTTAGACATCATTGGAAGATCGAGAACAGCTGTTAAAGAGGCCTCCCTTGCTCTTGAGTCATCTGCCAAAAAAATGGGCCTTGTTATGAACTCTCAGAAGACTAAATACATGATCGTTAACGAAATAAAGCTTCCTAATGAAGTTTCCGTGCAATTTGGGTCCTACACATTTGAACATGTAAGTTTTGTTATCATAACAGATATGGTAAGAAATGTTAACAACCTTGTAACTACCAACAATCGAGTTTGACAAACTAACTGCCCGGTCACAAGTGGCGGAATGTGCTCGGTGACAAACTACCCATTTCTAAACTAATTCTGGGTCCTGCTTAACTCAATAGAAAAAGAAAAGAAACTTTATTAGTTTTTTTCAACCAAACAGAATACCCAAAATATTTCTTATATTGCTGAAATTTCCACGTGGTAAACATCCTGTTGTGCAAGTGTTTAGTGCAGTGCATTGCATGATGGAAACAAGTATAATATTCTTTTTACTAATACGAGCTTTGACTCAACTCCTGCTTTCAGGTTTTTCAAAAAATTCTAAATTCACAAAACGACTAAGTCCTGATTATTTATCATCCATATGTAAAATATTCGATAAGAATGTCATTAGTATAGTAATAATAATTATTATTGACAATTTTATGAGATTCAGTCTTTATATAAATCAAGAACAAACTTACACTTGCATAAGAGATGGAGTATAGAAAAGAACTTTGATCAATTTCTGTCATTGCAGTTTCATTTAACCATTGAACATGAATTGGTAAACGCTTCCAAGGTCCAATTTGCAACATTTTATTAAGGACACGTAAGTGGTATTGCAAATGAGATTCATTGGATTTCTTTTTTTGTAAATGTTTCAATTTTCGAGAGAGATAAGGATGTTGCCAAGCCCATTCAAACTGAAACAAAACAAATTGAACCTAATACAAACTAAACAATCATGAAATTATAACACCTTACATATCATTGTAGGGAAAAATGTATTTTAAATAATAGATAATGTATGATGTTAGATTTATTTGTATTTTCGACTGATGAATAATGAATAAAATGCTTTATTTTTTATATTAAATAATAAATAATATGAATAAGAAAAACATATTGCTAATTGTATTAAACGAACTATAAGGTATAATAAATTACAAAAACCCACAGCCGTTTCTAGTAAAGTAGACCAAGTAAATTGTTTTCATGAAGAAACGATTAAGATTCGTTTTTAGGATCCACTAAAACTCTTAAATACAACTTTGCTTTTAAATCAAAAATTATATATTTTTTCTAAACCAAGCGGGTATCAAAAGTAATATTGTAAGCACAAAATATAGTATTTTATAGTTTCAAATCGAAAATAAGAATAAAGCAAGTATTGTACATATCATACACATATTACATCATGAAATATATTTTGTTTTGTGATAAAAAAAGATGATATTCTTTTTTTGTATCCCAAAGAACCCTTAGGGGGGCAAATGGGTAGGGTAACGGGAGGTCTTGAGAGGAAGATGGGTGCGGGAGTTTGACCCATTCTTTGCAGAACGATAGAGTGTCAGTGCCCTACCCACTGCAAGTGAGTTCCCAGATCTCCTTATACCTGGGAGTCCAATGGGACTCGCGGACTACAGAGGCGGGGTTCATCGCTTCTATCCATATATATGTATATATGTGTGTGACATAGTTGTGATGAACCAGTTAGGCACCCAAGCTAGGTTCGGGAGCTTGAACTGTGGCTGAATGCCAGAGGGTAGGTAAACCTAAACTATCATTTATCAACCCCCCTCGGGGAAATGGGCGACAACCCATTGCAATTAATGCAGGCTGTATGGAGAGGGGGTTGTACCTGCAGTCCTTTTAGACCTCCATACTTTTGGGAACAATATGTCCGAAAAAAAACAAATCAATGAATAAAATTAAATCAACGGTATCCGAGGAGGACTTGTCCTCATCGGAGCATTTGAACATATCAGAGGTTAACTCTGATATACTTGACAAATCTCTAGTAGGAACAGTACTAAAGATTCTGACAGAGGATGTAGGCACAATCCATGTCCAAACAGAGTGGAATGATGAGGAAGTTATGGAGGTGGCTAGTGCTATGCCACAGGCACCAACAGAACCCATGGACATGCAAGAGACTTACAAACCTAACCTAGATATTACAGAAAGTAGCCCCTCACAATCTAGACTCGACAGACGGTAGGCGGGGACCACGCATCCAAGGCAAGGTTGCTAGAGAGGAAGGCTTCTGATCAAGGGCAGAAAGAAAATATATTCAACCCTACTCAAAGGCAGGTAGCCGAGGATACAAGGGTCCCAATAGGCCCGGAAAACGAACCTACCATGCCGAAGGGGAAAGCTTTAAAACCACAGGCAGAGGGAGAGAAGGTGACACCCAAAATGGCCAGCATCTAAGTCTGCGAGACGACATAGGCCAGCACCAAAGACGGCGAGGCCTTAAAGGTGGAGACCAAGATCAAGACTGACTGTGGAAAAGTGAACCAGAACATCCTTAGGAACCTTAGCATCAACTGCTAAGAAACCAAAGGAAGCCGAAAGGCCAAGAAACTACACAAAGGTCGCTAGAGGACAGTTGGTAGTGGTGGTTCCTAATAACTATCCATAGATCCAACTTAGTTACGACCATTGCAAAGTACTGAAGGAAACCATCGCCACCAAGATCGACGAGCTACAAATTGGAGGAGATATTCACCCAAAGTTTGACAGAGCACTCTACAAACTCGGTGGATGTCTAGTATGTTGTTTGGACGACCACACTGTGGAAGGGTACCAAAATATTACACCAAGCATCACGATCGAGGAGGGTCTAACTCCTCCTCTAACAAGCTTGTGAAGTGAGTGAATTAAAAAATATCACCAGATCGGAGCCTTCTTTCCTGGAAAGGCTCTGCCTGCAGAATATTATCTTAATCGGCTCCAGATACAAAATCAGTCGATAACTGGAATCAGTAACTGGAACGTTTTCAACTTTAAGGTTTTGGAGAAAGGATCTTTCGGAGTGTTAAACATATCGGAGACCAGCCTTCAGAACATCACAATACACGGAATGCAGGATTGCTGTGGCATCTATGTGATTACATTTAGGCATCTAGTGACGAGCACCAAGGCTGCTCCAGAGGAATTACAAGATGAAGCACCAAGAGCTGGGACTTCAAAAGAGAGGGAAACCAAGGAATCCTCCTCTTCTAAAAGGAGTTCATCGAGGTCAAGGTCGAGAACGTTGGCTATGTCAGGAGGCGGGGCTAAGCCAAAAGATCCTGTGAAAACTGGATCCAGAAGCGAATCCTTGCTACTTTCACAGGCTGGGGGCCAGATCTCGGGCTTGAGGCACTCCTCCATACTGGGGGATTGAATATGAATAAGGGATTGAAAGTGAGGTCGAGCGGTAGGGAGAAACCAAAAGACAAGGAGAAAACTGAGTCTGATGGTGGAACCCTACCATCGGCTGCGTCTGGAAATCCATCCCCGGTAGTAACATGTAAGAAATATAAAACTGCTGCACATCAATATCCAGCACTGCATTGCAGCATGTGGCGTATTGCAACAGTACATAAAAGGTAAGGATATAGATATCATTCTAATACTTGAACCTTATTTACTTGAAGGCAGAACAGGGGATTGAGCATACCTGGGTAAAGAATTATTTCTGTACCCACAAACCCCAGGGCCTGCCTACTATACAAGAATAAACTAAAACTGCTGCCTCTATGGCAATTTTATTCAAGAGATCTTGCAGCAGCCAAATACACCCAGCAAGAGGATAGTAGTAAATCTTTTATCATAGCGTCGGCTTATCTGCCATATGAAAATCAAGAAGGAATTGAGGGAATCCTAAGCTGCAGTGATGACATCGTAGCTGCCCTGGATGATAATGCACACGAGATCTGAGGGAGCTCGAATACCAACTCTAGAGGTTAGAAACTCTTGGAGAGCATTATTAAATATGATCTTGATATTCTAAATAAAGGGAATAAACCTACCTTCTACAATAAGGTTAGATCCTCGTTTGTCAATGTGATAGGTTTGCAAGGCTTAGACTAGAGCTATTTGTCTAGAGCTATTGTAGGAGGATCGAGTGGATCACCCCAGTAGCTATGAATCTATTAATCTGATAGGCCTATTAAGATAAGCGGAAGTGACTAAACTAAAGTTTTAAGAATAAAATGGACCGTATACATGGCGCCCAATAGATTAATCCTTAAGGGTCGCAGTGCTCTAAGCCAAAGAAAAAAAATAACCTTAAATATCAATTTTCATTGCAATCGAAAAATATAAATTTTTGCTTAATACTCTACCTTATATTAATAGCTCTTCTGAGATCCATCAATGTTCATAGATTTATAGTAGATATTAATAAAGCAAAACACATTTATTTTTCTATTGCAATGAAAATTTCCTTAATATTTAAATATACATTTAACAGAGAGAATCACTTTATTACCATAAAAGGATGCTGCCCAATTACATTGGGTTGCTTTAAACACAGCATACTTATTAATCGCTACAGACAATTTTCCAAAACTAATATACAATATCTACTGATTTTTACTATGGCGAAAAATGAATATCATCTTTTTTATCATAAAAAAATATATTTCATGGTGTAATATGTATGTGTATAATATGTACATTTCATGCTTTATTCTTATTTTCGGTTTAAAGCTCAATAAAATACTAAATTTTGAGCTTACAATATTACTTTTGATACCCATCCGGATTAGAAAAAATATATATATTTTGTATACAGATATAGTATGTGTTCAATATTGAAACAAATAGGTCTAAGGAGTAAAGTGGGTTCAAACTATTTTTTTTTAAGTAGAAATGAAGTTGAGATTTGTATTTCGCGCCTTGAAAAACCCTTAAATATGAATTTTCATATCAATCTAAAAATAAAAACTGTTTGCTCAAAATTTTTGCCTAGGCTGGAGCCTTAATTTTTTTTTAAAAATCACGAAAGTAGTAATAACTTCGAGATTGTTCCACTTATTCACACGAAAATTAGCATGAGTTTGTGGGCCTATAACATTCGCAAAATGGCACAAACCAGAATCTTGGAGATAAAAAATAAAACATTTGGGGAGTTTTTATTTATTTATTCCTTACTAGCTTCACGAGCTGCTGTGGCTTAGTCTGACAAAATGGAAAAGAAAGAAAATGAACATATGAGTGGATTAATAACAATGGATATCTGTCATTTTTAAAAGCAGGGACGGTTATCGGCTTGAGCCCTCAGTTCGAGTCGTCCTTCATCGACTGCAGATGTACAGGCATCCTCTTGCACTATCAGCAGTTGATGTGAAGCCGTAGAGATCGTAATGATAGCAGAGCCTGAGACCAATCATGATCTGAACTCAGGGAAGAAAAAATGGCAATCAATATAAATATAACATAGTTTGATTAAAAGTATGTTATATTTATACTTATTGGCACCTCTTGCTTATGTTCATTTTATTACTAGCCAATAGTCACATTTCAGCAACCATAAGAAACAACGCAAATATTGTACACATCTGAAATATTTAGTCAACAAATTATTTACATTCTACAAACAGAAATGTTACCTCCCTTCCTTTCTGACTAGTTTACCTACCTTTTGCTATCTGAAAAAGGAAAACTGGGAAATCCTCCTCCCCTCCCCCCCTGACCTTTTCATTTACCTACCAAATGTGTCAGTACTTCACATCAGTGCTCAAACCACGGTTAGTAAGAGAAAATATTACAAATTGGTATAAATGGATTATATACATTATTTTTTTAATTTTTAGTTTGTATAACTATTTACATATTTCATTTTTAATATGTGTATTGCAATATTAGATAAGATTCATGTACCATCAATCACAATAGTTTATTATTTACCATTATCGGTCGTATAATATTAAATCTCTGATTGTATTTTAAAAAAATTTCAGCCCTGAAGATGAGCCACATATTTGGGTTGAAACGTTGGCATAAATAAAATATTAAACTTTTTTTAAAAAAAGACTGCATCCTGAATATTTATCACCCATGATATGTAGAACAGTCGACTAACTTCCTTCAATAATCCATAAAATAATAAACTAAAGTTTTATCAAATAAATCATTTTCTTACCCTCAGAGCTAATATTTCATGGGGAAACCCATCAATTACTAACATCATTTCCCTGAAATAAAAATAACATCATGTAAAAATTGCATAGTAAAAAATATGAATGCAGAAGCAGACATTCTTTCTTTATATAAGTCATCTTTAGATAATTAATGAGGAAACCCATGGATTACAATCATTTTTAAGTGAAATAATAAATTAAGTGAAGTTAAGTAAAAGAAATAAATCAAGTGAAATCTAAGTAATATAAACTAATTTCTATAGAGAGAGGGTGTTCAGACTTCCGAAAAACTCAGATTACAGAGTGTTCAGGAAAACTATCAAAAATAAAAGATTAAAATTTATTAAATTTACTACATACTGCTGAGTGAAGACAAGGAAATTATAAAAATGAATAAAACATTGAAAAAGGGCAGGAAAGAACTAGGACTTGAAATAAATACAGACAAGACAAAATAAATGGTTACTTTAAAAAATCACTGATGATTTCAGTGATATCAATATAGAAGAGAATATGTTTGAACATATAAAGAAGTTTAGTTATTTAGGGTCTACAATAACTATACAAACGAAATTAAGGCTAGGTTTAAGATAGGAAATGCATCAATTTACTGTTGTGAAACTACTTGCAGCTTCTGCCTTGAAATTCAAAAAATCAGATAATAATTCCCTGGGTCTGCTATATAAATATTAACCAAGATCCTCAATTTGAGTGAACAGTAACCTGCAAATATAATAGAGGTGATTACATTGCTTCAAATAAAATGGAGATGTAAACTTGTTGGGATTAGTAAATAAATATTTCTAAAAGCCTAACATGCCCTATTACGACTGGTAAGAGACCAGGAGATAGACCAAAGCAAGAGTAGGATAGCATTAAGACTGCTTGAAGGGGTTGTGATTGGACAAGGGCCAGCAGATGGAAGTATACAGACAACGGTTCGTACTATCAGCAATGAACCTTCGTGTTTGCTAGTTATTTATAATTATTGCCATTAATCTTGTTATCCTCTTCTTTCAATATTTTTTCATTTAAAAAAACATTACAGGCAGTTATACACCCAACCAATCTACCTTTTACCTCAAGCTTATGTGTCAATCACACAGAAATCACTTGTTCTATTTTTAATCAGTTATTTATATAAGTAAATTCTAACTTCGTTTTTATAGTTTTTAGTTCATCTGTTCTCAATATTACTTTAATATCATCTGTTTCCATTATCAATTCAATTTTTATCTTATATTTATATTAGCTATTATAATTAAATACTGATTACCAAGGACCCTTTTGATTAGTTTTATTAGCACCTCCATATGCAGCACCAGCATTATGTTGTTTTAATCTTCTATTAGGATTGACTGTAAAACCAATATAAATTCTACCTTTAAATTTAAAATTATGTGATCGCAGTAAATAAACGTAATTCTTTTTCTTAGTATATTCACTTAATGCTGAATTCATTGTTAAAGAGAATATAAATCAAACAAAAACTTGTAAACTTAAAAAAAACGAAAACCATTTTAAACTTAATTAACTACAACTATTCTACTATTAATGAACTGTAACATTAAAATAAACTCCTTCACATCATGACTTGTTATTATTATCGATTTAGAATAAATGTTACAAAACCTTCTCTTTCAAAAAAAAGAGGGAACCTACTTGTTCCTAAATCAAACAATTTTGATCTATATTAAAAAAAAATAGTCAATATTTATGATGATATAAACATTAAGGAAATATTACATTCTATATTTTTTTTATTTTGTTTTTTCATGATTAGTTCATCGAACAAAAAATACAAATATTCTGTTTTTTACTTTTTACTTTATTTTTACTTTTGATTTGTAATCTGTAAATTTCCATGATAAACTTCAAAAGCACTATCTAATGGATAGTGCCAGTATCTCAATGGAACTCTGTATGGACACTGAAACATTAAAGATCTTTAGCACTAAATTTCTTTACTTTACCCTCTAAAATGAGGGGGGCGTAAAGATACTTTTCAATGACTTGTACACTTAACCAAAAAATTAGTATCAATGCTTTTTATTGAACAATTAAAACTACTTTATGATTTAAATTCACTTAATTTTAACACCGAACGAAGTTTAAAGCTACTCTTTAAAAAATACATCATATAATTCCAACGATACTTAGTATACAAAGATTTTTCATTTTTCCAAGTATCCTATACACCACACGCAAAACTAGCACCGATGTACTATCCACCACACCGACTGTCAAAATTGTGGGCAAGTCGCTAAATCTTCATTTACTTGTAGGCCGATTTGATCTTCTTCCTTTATCAAAAGCGAGTTTCTTATTGTCCTCTTGGTTGCTTCGAAAAAGCAGCTATATCGTATGCATATCAATGGATTTCAAAATTCATTTCGACGCGCACCCCTCCATTTTCACATAGTGACCTTATCATCTTCTCTGGGGCTAAGTAGAATAACATCGGTGAGACTCCATCTCTCTGCAGTAAGCCAGTTTGAATTTTGAATGCTTCAGATAGATTGGAGGATGATAGATAAAAGAGGGCCCAAGGCATGCACTGATTGGATTCCAAGTGAGAACAACAGAAAAGAAATCGACCGTATTTTAGCTGGAGAGACGAAATGACACAATATGCAGGCGATAACTGGTGTCTTGTGGCAAGGGATAGAAGGAGATGGAAAAAAGTTAGAAATAATATTCAGTTGTTTTTCCAAATCCTTTTTAATTCACTTTTCTTTTTTTTTTTTCTTTATACACTTTTTTGCTTAATCATACCGAAAGTTGGGAAGCTTTATATAATTTTTTATCTTATACCTTAAGTTGTTATTCTATATAGCTAATTATATATGTATTGTTTTATTTTAAATATTTTAAAATAAGAAATATTTTGAACTTATTTTTTCTGTGGTGTTGACAACTCTATTAAAATTTTTCCCTGAGGAAGAGGTTTTTTTCAAAACCTATTGATGCCAATAAAACTTATTATTATTGTCAGAATTTCATTCATCCTCAGTCATTGCTGTCAATAGTCACCAACCCGAACTCAGTGAATCAAGGAATAGGCTCTGTTTATAAAATATTTAAAAAATTTCCGCTTATACTAGCTGTCCCTCGCAGCACAGATTTCTGAACTCCTAGAATATAATTAGAAGGTGCCAATTCTTTGCAAGTTTTAATCGTTTCCATTGGCACCAATCTGTTGCTCGAAATGATTAAAGGCAACATCAGGCTAGAGTTTGAAGTGGAGCCCCCTTATCATTCTATGTCAATAAAAAAGTACGAAAAGTTTATGTCGAGGGCTCATTAGAGGGGTCCCAAAATTTTGCGGAAATAAACGAATACAAAACAGATATTTTTGGAGCCAAACATACAACGGTACTAAATAAATACGGTACTTTTTGTCTAAGCGGCCGTTTTGAAACGTCACTTCTTATCTATCTTATCTAACGTCATGTCACATAACCTCCCTCTTCTTATCCCGCCAAACTTTTGAGTTATTGCATTGTTTAGTTTTCAGTTATTCCCTTATTACGTTCACTTATTAATTTGTTTACTTTTGGTCCGTTTGTGTTTATTTTTAGTTTTTGGCCCGTTTGTGTTTATTTTTAGTTTTTGGCCCGTTTGTGTTTATTTTTAGTTTTTGGCTCGTTTGTGTTTATTTTACATTTTTTTTTAGTTTGTGACCCCTTGGTGTTTATTTTTCATTTTTTTTTTTTCGTTTATTTTCGTCATATTATGGATCTTCTTAGAATATGGGATTTAACGTCTTCAGAAGAATAGGCAATTCAGTATTTTCAAAATGTTGGGGTACTTGCCGACGTGAAATTGTGTGTGAGGTCGTCGAATGAAGTTAACCAAGAAGGCCAAATGGAGATGCTTTCGTAAGACTTGTGGCACAAAACTTTTAATAAGGAAAGGAACATGGTTGGAGGATTTCGTTTTTGACAGCTTTAAAATTGATTTATGGGTGGTCCCATAGCTTGACAACAAGTGGGGCAAAGAGCAGCTGAAACTATCCTACGGAGCTATGGTAACGTGGAACAAATGTCTAAGAGAGGTTTGTGCCCATGACATGTTATACAGGCCAAGAAAAAAAATTGGAGGACCTGGCAAAGTGGTTGAAGTAGACGGAAGTCTTTTTACTAAACGAAAAAATCATGTGGGGAGAGTTTTACCTCAGCAGTGGATGTTCGGTGGAGTTTGCCGAGAAACAGATGAATGTTTTATCGCCAAAATAATTGACAGAAAGGCAACAACATTATTACAAGCCATTAAAGAATATATAGAAGAGGGAACGATCATTTATTCGGACTGTTGGAAAGGATACAACACCCGACAACTGAACGAAGCAAACTATGACCATTTCCAAGTGAATCACCGGTATAATTTTGTCGATCCATCAACTGGGGTTCATACTCAACACATAGAACGATTGTGGGGCTCAGCTAAGTGGAGCAATAAAGTACATAGAGGAACTGCCAGACAACACCTCGATTCATATTTGTGCGAATTTTTGTGGCGGCGGGTTCACAGAGAAGAGGACCCGTTCCTCACTATTTTAAGTAGCATAAAACAATTTTGCCTTCCAAAATAAATAAGACAAAAGGAAGTGAATAATTAACTTAAAATAATTTGTATATACGTTGTTTATAGTGTTGATATTTTTTCTTTTCTATGTAAATATGTTCTTTTAAATTTGTTTTTTTTTAATTTCATTTTGATGTTTTATATGTACATATCTTCTTAAAGTGTTTTTTTATTATTTCATTAATATATTTGTCGTCAAATAAAAGTATTTTTGTTGTTATTACATTTGTTTTTGTATCTGTTTACACTTTCAATAATACGAATTTAATACAATAATACGAAGATGTGAAGTAGGAGAAGGCTTATCACTGCGTTATGGGAGTTATCAGTGTTCAGGTTATAAACATTGGCAGATAGCAGTCAGTAGCGGCCGCTTAGACAAAAAGTACCATAAATACAAAATAATGATCTCCAGAGCCGTCAGAGGGGCCCCTAAATGATTATACGGGGATAAGAAGTACAAAACTCAGAGGGGGCCCCCAAATCATTCCACGGCGCTAAAAAAACGTACAAAACATTTATGTTGAGGACCCATCAGAGGGGTCCTAAAAAAATTGCGAAAATAAACGAATGCAAAAAAATTATTATAGAGGCCAAACATAAAAAATTTATTTTATAAATACAAAATAACGGTCTTTGAAGACTCAAAGGAGGACCCCAAATCATTCTACGACGATGAAAAAGTACAAAGCATTCATGTTAGAGGCCCATCGAAGGGGCCTCGAAAATATTCGGAAATAAACTAATACATTTAAGTTATTTTGGAGAGACTAGAGAAATATAACAATGCTTTTGGAGCCCTCCCTCGGTAAACTGTGTTCTTAAAAGTATGGTGGAGCAGTTATCCTCTCACTCATTTTTCTAAATAGGATATTGTTCAATTTGTTTCAGGGTTAAGTGGCCAAACTCAAATTATGAGTTAATGAAATGAAATGAAGAATAATTTTATCCTGGGACTGAAGTCCCGTTGGTCTTGCATGTAGATATCATTCAACTATATACAAAAAATACTTAGGAAATTTTAAATATATATATTTACAACTTTTCTTTAATCAACCTTTGAGTATTCAATTTTAACATAATTATTTAATTGGGAATAAATCCACTTATTGATTATTCAATAAACTGCCAAATATTCATTGCTTCTATGTTCATTCGACGTTTCTATCCTGGCTTTTTTTTTTTTTTAATAAGTTAACCATGGGATCCTCTTCAATGTCAGTCTTCCTCGGGGCCACAATGTCAGTATTGCGTAGAGATACAAAAATAGCCTTAAAAAATCCCTCTTCTCTCAACTCAAAGATCGAACCAACCCAGAAAAACTAGCAAACGTCATATATGAGTTAAAATACTCAGATTGTGACGAAAAGTACGTCGGACAAACCTCACAATACCTATCTAGAAGGGTTTATGCGCATAAATATAGCATTGAAAGCAAACAAATAAAAGATATCTATTCGTGCTATTAAGAATAAGCATACAATTGAGTTCGATAAAGTCAAGATACTAGACATGGAAAAGAATCAGCAAAAACGGTTGATTCTAGAGATGATGCACATTGGAAGGACCAAAAACGTAATAAATACCCGGAATGATTTGGTGAAATTGAATTGTGTGTATAGCAACATTTTAAAATTTTTATAATTTAGATTCCATTCCAAGAAAAAAAAAAAAAAAACAGACAGCTCCATGTAACATCCCTTGTTTTCCTCCATTTCGACTACGGTTGCCGGGTGTATAGAGGGCTGTCCACAGGACTGGAAGCGAGACTGAAGAAAATTACGAATTGCTTCATAAGATTCATCTTTGGGATCCCCAAGCGTTCTCATATTTCTTGTTGGTACACCAAGTTGAAGTGGCTTTATCCAACTTCCCGATGGCAATTCCTTCTTGGTGTTTTTCTTTTTCAAGCCCTCAGAACCAAAAACTCTCCCTACATCTTAGAACTCCTTAATTTACACCCCTCTATCCACTCTCTCAACACCTGATCTCAACCAATAGATTTATATACATATCCCTCCCATAAAACCACTTACTTCAGTGAATCCTTCGTCATTCG